GAGTCCTCGCCGGTTTCCACCGAGATTCCGCCCCAAGAAATTCAACGAGTACCACTCCCGCACCCTGTTCCCCGACTGCATCATGCATCGCTGAAGGCACCTGCACGAGCGTGGAACCTGTGTGTACATTCTCTCGTCGTACGCGCCGTCCCGAAACCCACGGCGAATCCCGCTCTCGTCGTCGAGGTCGACCGGAAAGTGTCTTACCCCGGTGAGGTTTCGGGACACACCGCGTACCTCGGATCCCCCCTCCCCCCCGGGCATATATACATACTCGCGAGCCTGGCGAACGATTGCGAGTGATCGCGCGCAGACCAAGAAGGCGACCAACGGGGCGAAGCTCGCGAGACCGTCAGGAAGAGTCTCCCACACGCAGGAACGACTGTCTCGCCTTGTTTCGCCGCGTCGTCCTGGAGACATGAGACTCGCCGGAGAGACCGGTCACCGCCGCTGCCGTCGCTGCCGGCGCCAGAGCTGACCCAAGGTACGTGTGCGTTGCAGAACAGTCACGACCGGGAGACATGTGCGAGAAGCCTGCGGGCCACCCAGGAGTCCCGTCCGTCACCGGGCGCCTTCCCGCCGCCGGCCCCTTGCACCGGGATACAGCAGCCAGCGCAACCGCAATCTCAGCAGCAGCAGCAGCAGCAGCAGCAGCAGCGAGCAGCAGCGGAGCAGCAACGCGCGGCGCAGCAGCGTTGCTGCGCGATGAACCAAGTGCAGCGCGGCACCGTCGGCGTCAGCAACAACGTCGTCGTCGGGCGTCCCCATCGGCCGGCCTCTTTGGACATCGGCATGACGCGCCGGTGCTCCGCTGTCGGCTGCAGCCGTGCAGCCGCCGCGACGGCGGCGGCGACGGCGGCGGCGGCGGCGGCAGCGGCGGCGGCGAGCGGCGTCGTCGGCACCCCGACGTCTGCGCCGGCGGCCTGCACGTCGCGCGGCTTCTTCGACGACTGCACCGTCAATAGCGTTGGCAACGCCAACAGCAACGCTACCCCCGGCTTCGAGCTCAACGTCAACGTCGCCTGCAGCCCCGCGGGTAATCGCGGTAAGCCCGTGTGAGGTGTTGCGGCGCATCGCGGAACGATTGAAGTGCGCGGTTGAAGTTGAAACTCTGCGAGCCACTCGCACTGAGAGGAAATATCTGTCGCTCTCGCCACTGTGATTGGAATATCATCGTAGAGTCGGCAGACTTGCTATATTTTCGTAGCAGGTGTTATTGTGGACGTCAATGACGATAATTTTATACGCATGCTGCTGCTATTACTTCTTTGTCAGGGAATCCGGGAAGTATGTATATAGGGTGTAACAAAAAGGTCGGGACACACTCGATTATTTCGGAAACGTGACGTTTCACAAAGAAATGTTTCATACAAAAGTTGTAGGGCTTCAAAGGATCTATTTAGTGGCGCTATGAATTTAACCTTTGTTAACTTGGTGACTTTTGGAAATTTCAAAATCAAATTAACCATCAAATTAACCAAAATCAGGACGGTATTGGAACAATATATTCTTGAGACTAAACAGAGCAAAAAAGTCCAGTATCACTTTTTCTTCTGACAAATGGTTAAGGAGATACCGTAAGTTAAATATTTTAAAAAGTTATCAAGTTTTCCTTAAATATCTCAAAAAATATTAGGCAAGTAAAAACATGTTTTAGACAAAAGTTGTTCAAATTAATTGGTAGAAAAAGACGGTGTGATAAAAAAATTGGGGTTTCCATTTAAGATTTTTATGTTGATCTTGACTGAGCTTTTCAAGATCATTCTAAGGTCAAATTTATAGCGTCAGTAAATAGATCCTTTGAAGCCCTACAACTTTTGTACGAAACATTTTTTTGTAAAACGTCACGTTCCCGAAATAATGGAGTGTCCCGACCTTTTTGTTACACCCTGTATATATTTGTTCTTCAGCTAAATTATAGCCAAGAAGGGACTTGATTTGTAATATAACCTTAATCTCATTCATCCATTCATTCTTTCCTCGCGCTCGTTCCACTCTTTCCTTTTCATTATCCTATTCTATTTACGTCCTACTTTTATAACCCAAAACAAACCTTTTTTTTATATTTACATTAACAGTTCAATACATTACTATTGCTTGAACCTTCTTTAATCTACCTATTTTACTGCCATCTTATCCTATTCTTGCGTTTTAAAACATTCGTTGGTTACATCTTACTTATCCACAATATTTTCTTCATCTTTATGTCCGTTATGTATACGCCATCTTCCTTCCTTTTATCATATATTCTATTACAGATTTTTTAATTCTTTAGCTTTTTATCTCTTTTCCACTTCCTCTCCCTTGATCGTCTTTGATTATTTTTAATTAGAGAATCCAGAAAGTTGGATTGAAAATGTATAGCGGTGAGGAGGATTATAACTTTAATGAGATCAACCGGCTGTTTTCTCTCGGTGCAACTTCAAACTTGGCTCGCTTTGAGCTCGCTTGTTCCGACCTTCAACCCGCGATCCTCGATCTTCAACATCTAGCTTGACACGGGCTCGCACGAACAGCAGGTCCCTAGTCGCGGTCGAGGACGCGTATGATGACCTCCTCAAGGAAATCTGAGATACGATCTGGGATACAATTGATTTTCCTTTTCGGATACTCCCCCGCGCAAAAGAATCTCGAGTTCGCGGGAACTCCTGACGCGTTTGAGCAGCGAGTAGCTAGTCGTATTTCGAGCGTTGAACAATGCGATGCGACGGAGAAGTGAGCTGGTGTGGAATCAAAAGGAATCGCGGCGCGCAACGAGGACATTTCGCTCGTGGTAGCCCCAGACGAAGAGATAGCGCTACCGCGTCGTACAAACATTGTGAATAATTAAGCGGAAGCGGTTTGTTAGATCCTAGACACATCAACGCCGCGCACTCTTCCCAGAAGGCGAGGGATCGTTACACTTTCTCTCTCTCTCTCTCTCTCTCTCTCTCTCTCTCTCTCTCTCTCTTGCGACGCGCTTCTGTGAATTGCGGGCGCCATTAGAGATCGTTCTCATTAAATGCTCATCAAAGTACGCTTTCATACGCTCATAATCATCCGAGAGTCAAGCCGAATCGATGAAGGTTCGCGAGCTTCTCGACTTCGTTGCTTCCAGAACGGCAGCGGAAACATACCGTCGACTTCTTTTGATTTTAGCCATCGGCTCGGAGACCGAGCGCGGAAGTTAGTGAAAGAGTTAAAGAGAAAAGAAAAAGAACACGCGAGATCAGAAGAAGGGGGTGAGAGACGCTCATTCGCAATTTCACATCGACAGATTTTCGAACGGTACCGACGATCGGTGCCTGTAAACGAAGCGACCTCGTCGTCGTGCCACGGCCTCATTACGCTGAACCTCTGCTAGCCGTCGGGAAGACCGGCGCGCAAATCGATCACACGCGAAGCTACACGTCGGTCAGCTTGACCCTTAGGCCTCCCTCTTCCGAGCCGCAGGCGCCGATCGATATCAGGTCGGAAGGATCGAGTCTGACTTACTCGACCTCGTCCTTGGATCCGCGCGGCTTTCAGAGCCGCCTGCAGATCAGCATCGGCCCCGGGAACGTCGGCAGCGTGGCGGCGGCGAGGATCAGACCGCCCATAGTCCCGAATCGGCCCGCCGACCCGGTCAGACCCAACAGTCTGATACCGCCGACTCAGACGAGTCCACAGCGGCCGCCCGGTAAGTTTCTCGCTTCCAAAATTCCACAATCCCACCGTGCCTCCGCTTGCCTCGTAAAATATATTCGCCAAGATGGGAACGCTTCCGAAGAGAACAATGCTAAGTCTCAAGTCAGTGGAAATATAGAATTTTCTCTCTGTATAGTCCTGATTGAATAGAACTGTCTCTTCTCTGAACGTCGAAGAAGTCGAGAGAAAATATGAGACATTTACCATGCATCCAAAGAGTGAGAAATTACATTTGTGTTAAAATAGATTAAAGGACTAGAATTAAACCACCCACCACAAGCTCCCAAATGTCTCGCGTCTGCTTCGAATAATCTTAGAAAATCTCCTCGTCGAGACGAAAATACGTGTATATTTCAAAGAAAAGAAAACACATGGTGTATATAATAATTATATAATATTTATTACATAATGTTATTATGATTATGTAATGTTTATTTAATATGCAGTTAATGTGTGTTGAGACACAGACAACACTTCTGCTTAGATAAGATTAAAGCCCCCACTCGAACTGGAGGACGGGGGAGGGGAAGGTAGACACTCCAGCGTGTACATTCGTGCGAATCGCTTTCAGGACTGCCGCCAGGACCCCCGAGCCAGCTGCCGAGGCCCACGACGACGATGAGCGCGCCGACTACGCCCTCCGTCCCGTCGACAACGAATATCGTCCAGACCTGCAGTCTCCCGACGACGCCTTCCGGAGCCGCGATGAGCGGTGCCTCCTCCTTGCAGCAGCCGCCTCCCTCCAGCTCCGCGGAGAAGCACACGCAGACCGCCTCCGATCAGAGATTATCGCCGTCGAGTCAAGGTACCGACGCCGCCGGCAGCGAGCAGCGAGCAGCGAGCAGCGAGCGGTTTCCCCCGACGTAGCCGCGGCGATCCCGCGACGTGTTAACGTTGCAGAAATCGCCCGCGCACATATATCTACCTGGAAGTCACTCGGTCGCACGTACTCTACGCCCACTCACGCAACGCCGGGAACGATATTTACGCATTCCTGACCCCACGCTCCGGTCTATACATAGCCGCGGCCGCGGTTACAACTACGTGGACCACCTGATCCGGTTTTTCTGCCCACGAAGAGTGGAGAGTCCACGCCACTGACACGTTTCCTGGACGACGTCGTCGTCGTCGACGTTTAACAATACGTACAACCGTCGTCTCCCCGTCGAGTGTTCTTGTTCTTTTGCCTTTTTTCTTTTTTTGTCGAGGTCGACGAAGGAGCGTGGTAATGTTACTGCGACGCCGCTTATGAATGCGGCAAAGAAAAACGCGCGTCGATTTACGACGCAGGTGTTAGGCGGCTAGATAGATGTGCTTAATATCTGATACGGAGATCGCATTATCATCGTCGCGATCGATAAAATCACGGCGCGAGGCGTAATGCGATAAAATTAACGAATCGCCGTCACAGTGTCATCATTCGCCGAGAAGTAGAACTAAAAAGTTGTCGTAGCTGCGGTGAACGGCAGCGTTCACCGCAGCTGCGGTTCTAAGCAGCGGCGATTTGGATTCGTTTGTCTTGTACGTTGATAAAAATCGTCCTTTTGACGTTTCAGTGGCGGAACACCAAAGGGCATTGGTGGAGGAGCAACTGATCAGGAAAGAGAAACTTGCCAAGGAGCTGAGGAACGAGAAGGGCCGACTGGAAGTGATGAGGAAAGAGCTGCAGACGCTCGCCAGACCGCAGGATCCTTCGATATCTCAAGTAGGTGCAAACACAAACCTCTCAAAGACCTTTTCAAAACATCCGAAAGAAGTAAAACATGTTTTGTAGACACGTCTTTCTCTTAGCTTAATCGGAGTCTATCGGAGTCTGAAAGTCGTTCTATTACCTGAGAGAGACATTTTTAAGAAACAACTAAGCCGAATAAGCGCCACAGAATATCTCAGTGTTCTACGTGGTGTATCTCAACGCACCGATCTTTTCCAGGAGCTGAAGAGAAAGCTGAAGAGCGAGATATATCAGCTGCAGATCGAATGCGACCGACTCGCCGATGAGGTAGATCAATGGTCGGACACACGAGGTATTTCTAATCTATCTTGTCGTTCTGTCGTGCGTAAAAACAGGAAAAAGTTGCTGGCAGCTTTCTAACGCATAGACGTGCTCGCAGTACCATTGGGCGAGACTAACGAGGAGTTCTATCAAGGCATTTATACCGGCCAGCCGTTGCCGACGAGAGTTCCAACGAGCTCGAACCCGCCACCACCTTTGCCGAGTCAACCGCCAGCTTGGATGCGGGAGAGTCGCTCGACGACGATCGCGCAGCACGACAACGATCGGGAGGAACGAGACGGGCCGTCTTGGGTCTGCACCATGTGCACTTTCGACAACCATCCGTTGATGAACAAATGCGAGGAGTGTGACATGCCGAGGTTGTTGGACAACGGAAATGCAGGTATGCAGCGGCGCGTGGCATCGCCGCCGCCGCCGCCGCCGTCGAGGGCGAAAGTCGCGTCGACCACGTCGTCATCGTTGGCGGCTGCTAACACGAGTGCGAATTGGAGACCCTTGCTACCGGAAGAGTAACTCCGTCATCGTCCTCGTCATCATCTAATAGCATGCTGTTTTGTGATGTGTCCTGCAGGTGTGATATTCGTTGCGCGAACAGACAGAATACGATGCAAATTGCGTCAGTTGATCGGAGCGTGCGATAAAAAACACTCGAATGAAAGTGTCTTAGTTTCGCCTGTAGTTTCAAGAGACTTTAAGCGAGTGAAAGAAAAAAGAAAGAGATAATGGTCACGTTCAGCGGAGAAAACTGCTCCGCTACCACTCAGTAGCAAATGTTCATGATTGGAGAATTCTTTTAAATCTTTGGCAGATCCGAACAGACGTACCAATCAGAGACATTTGCTACGGAAAGGTAGCGGAACAGTTTTTTCCGCTGAACGCGACCAATGTGTGTGTGTTTTGTTGTTATAATCGAGTTAGAATAAGAATTGTACTTAATGATAGTTGACCACCTTTTTAACAATAAAAGAAAGCATAATACGGGAGAGCTGACGCCTCTGCTCTCACTTGTTAAAGATGCGTGTGCATTTGTTAATTTTATCGTCGCATGATGAATTAATAATCTCCCACTCACATAGATTCCCATGCGATACTTTTAACACGTTAACTTTCAAGCTGTGTTGTGGAGCAAACAATTTTCAGCGACAATTATCCTCCCGGCGCCTTAAAGTTCGAGGTGAGAAATATATATTTCGAGTTTTGACAAATTGTGAAATAATCGCACCATCACGAGAAATCTCACAAACTAACGATAATGCTAATGTCGCTTTCTGTAATTTGCAGGGGAGACGCAAGATATTCACATTCGGGTCACGCATCATCACAATTTCTCGCCAAGGCGTGAGTATATAACTTCGATCGTAATCTACGATCGAGCACATTCGTGCTGCGCAAACGTAAACGGTTAATGTACTTTCGCAGAAAATGATTACGACTTTATCTTATTCTTTTCAGACACAGTACACAGTTGGGTGGTATGATGTAAGCTGAATTAGAAATTCAAAGAGAGAACTGTGTGTATATACGTTATTTAAATTAAATAAATAAATTGTATATACGTAGAAACTAAGCGACTGTAATAGAATACGATTAATATAATTATTTATTTTAATTTTTTATTTGCAATTGAACATACATCGCGTTGTTATAGTCATTAGCGATCTTACAGAAAATGAACTTTCTACTTGCACATTCACACTAAATGACTAATTCGGTTGAAATTGTTGACAATTATATATTTATTTCTTAAAAAAACTACATACATTCAGATTACCGCGTAATTCGCACGCGTATCATAAAGTGATGTTCGTATCGTCAGTAACACACAGGAGGTACATTTCGAACATAACGAAAATACAGTGAAACTCTTATCTTCCTAGATTTCTATTTGTACAAAATTATAGTATAATACATATGTAAAATATAAGATATTTGTAATAATTGCAACAACATATTCCTATTATATAGCTGTACCCCTCTCCAAATTCAACTTAGTCTCACGCGTGTGCTCGCCGTAGAATCTCTCTAGTTTCTGATTAAACTTGGCGTTGCGTTCATTAATGTAATCGATATCCGCATCATCGTTGTGCATTCTACGTCTACTATATTTCTCCCTCTTTGCGATCCTGCAAAAGGTAACCGCATTCAATGTAAGTTATCAAAGATTGCAATTTTCGCATGCTAAGTTATTAGGATTGCTTACTGTTTCTCTAAATTTGTGACCATCTTATCAATCGCCTCCTTCTTGTCTTCATGTAAACCATGCAGTATAGTGTTGCGATCCCCATAAAAAGCAGCTCCCAACTTTTCCTTAGATTCCTCATACGCTTCCATATTAGGCTTAATATTCTTCACCAACCTATTGTACGAACGTATTGCTGCTTGCTCATAATCAGAGAAGCCTGGATCTGGATTTTGCTTACTTCTTTTTTTTCTGGCTATTCGTTCTGCTTCTGTGGCATCTATTTGTAATAATTTTTGTCGTTCGTAATCTTCACCCTATGTAAAAATGCAAACAAAGTATACAAAAAACAATTATATATATATATATATATGTATGTATAAGTATAAAGATTACAGTCTATACAGATACCTTGGCTTCTGCTTCTTTCCGAGCAGCTTCGTCCTGCATTATCCATTCTGCCTTTCTTTTGCGAGACTCCCAATTAGTAGGTAGCTTGTTCCTTTTATCCTCCTCTACGACTTCCTTGTGATTCTCCATTCTTGCTTGATTCTGTTAAAGCAATATGTTATAAACGAATCGCGATGATGAATTTGAATAAAGTAATAGTGAAGTTCTTAATAACTTGAAACGGAAATGATCAATGTCACTGTTAAACAGGAAAATAAAAAACTTACACATTGAGGAACTCTAAAGCAAATAAATTCTAAAGTTTGTAAAACGTCTCATAGAGGTTAACTTTGATTAATTCGAAAAACTTACTCTTTTGCCGTGAAGATCTTTGAGCCTTTTCATTCTTTCTGCATGTTTCGCCACCGCGGAATTAGCAGATGATGTATTCGATGCTTCATCCATTTCCAAATTATGTAAAATACAATTTTCAAGCAAACTCGTAAACACTATCAACAAATTAACCTTCGTACGAACTCAAGAGCAAGAAACTAAAGCCCGTGTCACACTACGGATTGAAGATTAGATTTCGACAAATCAACGAACTTTGGTTTTGATTTGCTTTATTCCGATTGGTCAAATTTCAATCTTCAATCCGCAATCCTTGGTCTTCAATCCGTAGTGTGACACGGGCGTAAGGATTAGCGTTGAAAAGTTATAGTTTGCGTAACACAAACTATATATATTTTCAGTACTGGCAGTGAATTTTGGAACACGGCCTAGTACTACCAGAGAGAAACCTGAGAGCGGTCAACACGACATTTTCTGCGACACTGACTTTCCGCATTGGAAAAGGACGCCATCTGCATCCATTTTGAGAGGGGAACTACGATAGTATATCCACTTTTAGATCTCGGTGGTAAAATCTGCATGTGGTGGAAGTCCACGCTACATCCATTTTCAGGCGGTTTATGTCCGTGCTGCAATGACAGTTGCCATCTCTATGCCAGACTATGCCCGGTGGTCTAAAAAGAGCGGGGAGGAAGGGAGGGAAGCAGAAAAAATAAAAGTATGTATTAAATGTTAAATCTTCGAATATATATTGCCTTATCAAAGTCTCTTCTATAATAAACAATTTGACATGCATGGAGACGCATGATGTATCGTTGCCCGCATCCCGTTCACTTCGTCCTGTTTCTTAATTCAGCATCCCGTCCGCTCTGGACATTTGCTCGTGGTACTGACAGTGACCGTCGGTGAGCATTCGATCCGCTCGGAGGAGCACGTATTAATTAACGTGACGAGACTCCGATTATAAATATCCCGCGAGTCGACGAAATATTTGAACTTCTAAAAAAAGCATCAAAGAAAATCACGTTGATGTTGTCATGGGTAAAATCTCACCCTGGTATATATTTTTTTTATTTTCGAAATAAAAAAAGCCAAACGAATGCAATTAAATGTTATTTATCATTATTGAATATTAGATGAAAAGTAGAAGAGTTATTGTCCGCAGTGGATAATCTCCCTGTATAAAATGTCGAACTGAAACATATTAAAAAGTATTGACATTTTGAATATGTCTGAATTCTGCTTTCTGATCCGAAGAAAGGGACTAAAAATGCAAACAAAGTATACAAGAAACAATTATACATATATATATATATATATGTATGTACAAGTATAAAGATTACAGTCTATACAGATACCTTGGCTTCTGCTTCTTTCCGAGCAGCTTCGTCCTGCATTATCCATTCTGCCTTTCTTTTGCGAGACTCCCAATTAGTAGATAGCTTCCTACTAGAGATTTATGGAGAAGAATGGAGAATATTAGTTCCCATTAAATTTCACCGCGCTAAATGCGAGATGGCAGTGGTGAATGCTTCGCATTAATAAGGATTCAATTCATTTCAAATATGCCTTGTATTCAATCGCAATCGATAATTTTCAAATGTGAACTTTCGTATTGAAAAGTATTCACTTCTTCTCTTAATTGTTTTCGGATTCAGAGGCATACAAGATTTTCACGTTCTATTCCCCGTCGCATTGAAAAGTATTGGCCCGCGATCCAATCTGAGATTCCCGCAAAGCAGAATTCACGACAAAATCTCGTGAATTCGAAATATACTTTTAAATACGACATTTTATACACGACTAACATTTAATAAGAACGAGACAAAATTCGCATAGGATGAAATTCCACTCTTTAACGTTATCATGACTTTTAATTATTCTCCGCAAACGGCGTCACAACAACTTTGACACTTTGTACAATTAGTTGCTAACACATTTTCTAATCGTACACATTCCTCTTTAATTAACATAAAGCTAACAAATGTCCGATGCTTTGACAGAGTAATTTTCTTTATTTTCAGTAATCAATAAATAGAGTGCATCAATGTCGCGTACAGTTGAAAGGCCTCCTCGCATTCCCCTCGTCGTTCTGGAACCTTCGAGAAAAGAAGAAACGCTCAAAGGCAAGTCTCTCTTGCTTCAACCGCCGCCGAGGCCCGCAATGTTTATATCGCGCCGATTGTGTTGATCGGCTCGCGAGCGACGACACTTTTTGCCCTTCGTATTATAATACTCGCGCACCTTGTGTATTCGACCTCATTCCATCAACAGCAGCCGTGCGCGACGCGCTCGTCACTTCCGTCTCGTGTAATTAAAAGAAATATATCTCGTCGGTCTTCGAGATACTCAATCGGCATCGCGTCGGCATCGCATTCTTTAACCGCACGGTCGAATTGCGAGTATCGGCATTAGAAGCGTGAGCGAGTGAAATCCGAAGGACTTCAGTAGTCTGGAAGCAGAACGCCGGCAGCGATACGTCACGTTTCCAGGTATGTGGAATCATTTATTATGCGGGAGGTCTCCGATAACGAGAATGGACGTTTGACGAATTTTCCGGGAATAAGAAGTCGAAATTTCGCGCTCGGCATTCACAATCCGTCATCATCCGACTAATAATCATCACTTTATGAATTTGCAATTAATCTTTGTCTGTCTATCTATTTATTACGTTGTTGTATACAAAAGATATTGATCCAGACAGAGACGGATAACGGTCCATGGACGTCGATCTCGAATTCATCATGTTCTCAATCAAACATTCTGAATCATTCCTAATTCCTGTGTGAGAATATTGGTCTTGTGTAGAATATTCAACGTCATATCGCTTCTTAGACTGCGACCTTTTTTTTTTCGGTCAGCGCTTCTTTCAAGTTTGTTTACTCTTGTTACGGAATCTAAATTTAAATGTCCATTCGTAAAAAAGTATTTTCGAGAGCACACAACTGTTGTCTCCGCTTCTTGTTGTCATTTTTTTTCGTCAGCTCTTTCAAGAGCTCCTATCTAGACTTTCAATGTCAATGAAGAAAAAAAATCGTAGCGAATATTCTCTACTCATCCCGACCAAACATTCTTTCTCTATCGCAGCTTACTAACCAGGAACGCTAAATTTTTGTTCCAGACGTTGCGGAAAGCAAGTCCGGCGGACGCGGATGCTGCACCAGAGGATTAGATTCGGGTAGATCAGGGTCGGCCGGAAGGTAAAGTTTATAAGTTTCCTACACATTTGTGTTCAACTCTTTACAATCTTCGTTTTCGCAACTTGTTCCTCATCAGCTCTCTTGAAAGCTTCATGTCTCATTTAAATTTTCAATGTTGGAACAAAAATATACAGATAAAAATTCCGTATCAAAATATTTCCGTATTTTCGATTCGTCCCGATCAAAGATATTCTCTCTCTATCGCAGGTTATCAACCGGGAAAATTATTTTTCTGTTTTAGTTGTTGCGGAAAGCAACAGCAATCCGGTGGACGCGGATGCCGCACCGGAGGATCCGGTTCGGGCTAAGCAGAATCGGCTTGAAGGTAAGTTTACAAGTTTACTACAGTCCTCTGTTTGACCCTTGGCGATCTAGAGCTGGGATATAATTTCCGGCTCAACTTGAATTAGGATCGCAGAGGGTAAAATACTCTTTTACTCGCTCGCATTCATTGGTCAAATCTAATAAGCGAATGTGAATTATTTGTTACAGAGTTGAAGCGGAACGTAGCCGGCTCTGACTGCAAGTCGTTTCGGTGAGTAAATGCAAAATGAAAAGATAAGCAAAATTCCGCATGACGGATGTGGGACTATGGGAGATAAAATATCGTTCGAGTCAATGCGAATTGCAAATAGATTTTGCATGTGTGTGTTTGTGACGTTGAATAAAATATGTTGCTCGAAACAATCAGGGGATTACT